CTGCCCGGTATAGATCGGAGGAACCGGAGCGATCGGTTCGGTCGTCTCCAATGGGTCGATATCTTCTGGTACCTCCACAATGGTAGCAGTGTGGACCGGATGATGAAACATACGATGATCTGGGGTAGGAGAAGATATGCCAGTACCGGAGCCACGATCATACTCATTAAAATCCATCACCTCGGGGTAAACCGATCCGGGGTATTGGGAACCGACCGGAGATTGGCTGAACTGCCGGAAAGCAGCTCCACGGTTTTCTGGGTCGAGAAGCGGTCTTGACCACATGGCCGGAGCATGCGGCCGAAGAGGACGCGAATCCGGTTGAAAATGCGGTTGGGACCGTTGAACCCGAGGGTCAATAGGTGGTGAGAGCATGGGTGGCTGAAAATCAGAGGTAGATTCTACGGGCTGCTGGCCCGGAGCCTGAATCGGAACGATGGCGCTGAACTGGCGCAATCGAGGACGATCTTGGCCTACATCCGGAGTGGGAACGAGGTGAGCGTAAGACATGGGAAGAAGCCAAATTAATTTGAGTTGATAATACTGTTATATCTGTGTCCGGAAAGGAAAGGAAACAGCCGGAAGGACGGACGGCCGGAAAGCCGGAAGGCCGGATGGGTCGGAAGGACGGATGGCCGGACGAAGTGTCGGGGGCCGGACGAAGGTCCGGATGTAAAGCGATACCACAAGAGTATAAGGGTACACCAATTAACTTGGCTCCAAAGGTCGGATAGAGAATAGGACAGAGGTCGGATGACAGAGCAATGCGGAGGCAAAGCACATTAATTATCAACGGAGGTTGCATCCGAAGTAAGTACGTATTTATAATAAGTACGGAGATAGTCCGGATGCGTTCGGAGAAGAAGTAAAGACAATAGGAATAAGCGAAGACAATAAAGACAATAAGGAATACATGTGGAGCATAAGTCATATGGTCAATGAAGGGGAAACGCTCAGTAAATCTTCATTGCGTAAAAACCCCGAGGGCGTGCGTCAACGACCAAGGCCGGACGCAACAGCGAGTGAGACGGACGCGAGCCGGAGTTCGGATGACGCATCCGGAAGGGAGGAGAGTCGGATCCGAGGATCCGGACGGAGGACGGAGGAAGTCCGGACGGAGCCGGATGGTGTAGGAGTTGCATGGTCGTAACAGAGACGGACGCGAGCCGGAGTTCGGATGACGCGTCCGGAAGATAGCGGAGTCGGATCCGAGGATCCGGATGGAGGACGGAGGAAGTCCGGACGAAGCCGGAGAGGTTCGAATGGAGCCGGATGGTGTAGGAGTTTGCATGGTTGTAACACGCAACCTTACCCTTCTGTTGTATCATGTATTGCCTCGGAATTCAACTCCTGCTTATGGACTCTCATTGATTCCGGCTTCTCACATTGTTTTATATTTGCGAAAGTCTGTGAATTAAATGCTTTTACTCTGTATGCGATTCAGCCGGTTAATCTCCGGTATCTTGATGGCTCTACCTCTGTGATTGACAAGCAGGTCCGGCTGCTCACTCGGTTCCTGTACGGCGATGTTGCTACGCCTGTGCAACTCCAGGACAACTCCTGACCACATCCGGCCGTCTCCGGCCTCACTTCCGGCATTCTCCACCACTTCTGGATTCACATCCAAACATCTGGTCCTCTGACTTCTTCTGTCTTCCTTCTTCCGGCTCCGGCCTCGGAAGTCTCACAGAACTTCCTCGGACTTGCCACACGACACCAAGTCCACATGGTGTCGTATCCGATGGTTTTCATCAGTCATCCAACTCACCATCAAATCCTATGTCCTTATGCACTATGCTCCACATGCTTTCCTTTATTGTCCTTATTGTTAAACGACTTATCTTATTGTCTTTTAGTTACTTCTCTCTGCATCCGGACTTGCCCCATAAATATTATAAATACGTAGTACAGTCTTGGATGTACTTCAGTTTGATTATTAACATTGTTTCTGGTCCCAACCTTCTGGTCGAACTCCTGAACTTCCGATACTTCCGACTTAATGTTGCAACGTTACCTCTGCCTTCGGATACTTGTCCGGTTGTCCTTCCTTACTTCTGCCTCTTCCGGCTTCTTCATCTTGACAACCTACCTTCGTCTGACGTCCAGATGTGACCTCTGTCCTTCATCCGACGTCCGGACTTATTCCGACCTCTTTCGGTCTCGGCTCCGATCCTCGCCTTGACTCCGGCCATCTGGAAATCCGTCCGGCCTTCATCCTACTCGTCCGGCTGACGAGCGAAGTCCTTCGGTCATCTTCGTTGTCATCCTTCCTTATTCAAGTTGCCAGCAGTACAGTCCCCACTCACCCTTAACCCCCTGTGGTGTAGTGGTTTCGATATCCGTAGTTCTGGACCCCATATCACTGACCTCCATTAACTTATGTACTTCCATTCAGCTCCGTCCTCCAGCCTTCCGTCCCTCCAGTCCGGACATCTGTCATCCAGAACCCACTCCTCTCCTCTCTTTCCCTCCTCTCCGACACGGATATAACAGATGTCCACTTAGTGGAATTCTACGTTACCCATCTTGATTCTCCATGTGACCTGGTTCTTGGATACTCATGGCTCAGCTGCCATAATCCGTTGATTAACTGGGTTGACGCTACTATCTCTTTCTGGGCCATCGACACCCCGGAGTCTTCTGTGTTGACACCCCAGGCTATTATGCCTGATTCTGTTTCAGTAGCTTACGAGGTGCCCCCAGTGATACCAGCATATCTGCCACCTATGCCAGCTGGCTTACCTACATCGAGAATGTCTTTGCCAGCTCTTGCTCCTTCCATGGAGATCCCACCTGCTCCTTCACTGGAACCTATCTCGGCTGCAGACTTTCCCCGGCCTTTCACCACTGCTCCGCAGGTGTCTCTCGTTAACGCCATGGCGTACTGTGCCATCATCAAAGATAAAACCACCCAGCAGTTTACACTGCGTGCTCACTTTCCAGACGAAGTCCTTGCCTGGTCAGCCGAAGCCGAGCTGTTTAGCACGGCTGGTATACCACCCAAGTATCATGACTTCACTGATGTCTTTTCGGAGTAGGAAGCTTTCAACCTGCCCCCTCATCGGGACCACAATCTCAAAATTGAACTCATTGGCAGTGATGCACTGGTGGTCCACAATGTATACTTGCTCTCACAGAATGAGTTGGTCGCCCTCCGGACTTTCCTGGATGAAAACTTAAAGGCCGGTTTTATTTATCTGTCTCGTTCCAGTCATGGCACTCCTATCCTTTTCACTAGAAAGAAGGACCGCAGCCTCCAGCTTTGTGTCAATTACTGCTGTATCAACCGGATTATGAAGAAGGATAGCTATCCACTTCCTCTGATCTCGGACTTACTTGATGCCCCAGGAAAAGCACACATCTATACAAAACTCAATCTCCAACACGCATATCACTTGCTCCGGATCACCACCGGCGATGAGCTGAAAACCGCATTTTACACTCGGTACAGCTCATTTGACTTCCAGGTTGTACCCAAAGGTCTCACCAATGCCCCATCGGTGTTTCAATGCTTTCTCAATAACCTCTTTCGCCGACTTGCTGGACGTCACAGTTGTCGTCTATCTGGACGATATACTCATCTACTCCGATGACGAGAAACAGCATACGGATCACGTACGGGAGGTCCTAAAGTGTTTGCGCAGCACTTCGCTATACTGCAAACTCAAGAAATGTGAGTTCGGCATAACCACTACAGAGTTTCTAGGTTTTATTCTTTCTCCGGACGGCTTTCCCCTGTCCCCGGAGAAGGTAGCGGCCATTAACGATTGGATGGAACCTCACAAAGTCAAGGACATACAGTCTTTCCTTGGCTTTTGTAACTTCTACCGGTCTTTTATCAGGGACTACTCAGCCATCACTATCCCGCTCACGCGCCTAACCAGTTCTGGTGTACGGTGGACTTAGTCTGACAAAGCTCAAATGGCTTTTGACACCCTCAAACGGGCATTCATGGAGGTACCTATTCTTCACCACTGGGTCCCTGGTCCTCAGCTTACCGTTGAGACGTACACCTCTGACTACACCATCGCTGGTCTCGCACCCTTGGCCCTTCGGAACTTAACTACGACACGCACAACAAGGAGTGCCTCACCATCTTCGAGACCTTTAATCACTAGCGGCATTACCTCAAAGGCTCAGCACTTACAGTCAATGTCATTACGGACCACAAAAACCTGGAATACTTCGCAACAACGAAGATCTTGACCCATCACCAAGTCCGGTGGTCCAAGTACCTATGCTGATTCAACATGGTCATCCAATTCCAGCTGGGCCGGTTCAGCAGAAAACCTGACACTTTAACTAGATGATGGGACGTCTACCCTAAAGAGGGGGATAGCCCATACAGTAAAGTCAACCCTCAAAATTTCCATCCTATTTTTACTCAGGATCAACTTTCCACTTCACTCCGAGCCACCTATCTCGAGGATGTCATCCTCCGAGCCACTATCATCATGGATGTTGAGCAGCTTCAGGCTGACATCTTATCCCACCTCAATGATGATCCCACTTCAGTTTCCGGCTTAGCCGCTACTGCTGGCAATTCCCCACGCTGGACTATCGAAAATGCCGGTTTACTCCGCTGTGACGAGCACATTTATGTCCCATTGGTTTCTGGTACCTCCGAGGAGCTCCGGGTACGTGTGCAGTGATTGTAATGGTTGTTGCCTGAATCTTAAACAGTTTTTAATGTGCCACTGAGAGTTGTCAACTTAGCAGTTCTTCTGCCCCTCGCTACCAAAAGAAGGGTGTGCAACTTCAGAAAGGGCTCTTGATTGTGGCTCTTTGGGCTCAGTTTCACACCAAATCAAGACATCAATTATCCAAAATTCTTTTTTGCTCCTTACTTATCTACTCTTGTGAGCATATGTTGAAAAACTATGACAAACTATGACAAACATCTGCAGAACTCCTAATTGAGGACATTCCAGAAAGCATATAGGCCAATTCAATGAGCAGGAGAAACCTGGACTCTGCTTTGCTGTTGGAAAAAAAAAAAATCCGACTTGCCTGGTTCGAACAGGCGACACCCAGATGTCAATTTTGTAAGCCAATTACAGTCTGATGCTCTTCCAACTGAGCTAAAGTCGGTGATAGGAAAATAATCATTTACTACTGAAGCTAGAGGACATCCATACACTGCATTCAGAGTCTTGGTAGGCAGAGGTTTGTGGACCACATGTAGGCAGACCCAGGGCCGGCAGAGTCTGTGGAGCTTGGTCAACCTGCGCCTACATCCAGAATTGTTTGTTCCACTCACCCAGCTTACCTGTACCACTATCAAGTGGGACTGGTTGGTCACTTGCCAGCTGCATTCAGAGTCTTGGTAGGCAGAGGTTTGTGGACCACATGTAGGCAGACCCAGGGCCGGCAGAGTCTGTGGAGCTTGGTCAACCTGCGCCTACATCCAGAATTGTTTGTTCCACTCACCCAGCTTACCTGTACCACTATCAAGTGGGACTGGTTGGTCACTTGCCAGACAGCCTTCAACACTCTCTAGCATGTGTTTATGGATGCTCCGGTCCTCTATAATTGGATTCCCAGCTGTCAGATCATGGTTGAAATGGACACATCTGACTATGCTATTGTAGGCATCCTCTCCATCAACAGAGATGATAGGGAACTTCACCCTGTTGCTTTCCAGATCTGGATACTTATGGCTCCGGAACTCAGCTACGACACGCATGATAAGGAACTCCTTGCTATTTTTGATTGCTTTACTCATTGGTGTCATTATCTCAAGGGGGCTCCTTTAGTTGTTGACGTTGTCATGGACTACAAAAACCTCGAGTACGTTGCCATGACCAAAACCCTTACCCATCGTCAAGCATGCTGGTCTGAATATCTTTGCCATTTCAATATGGTGATCCAGTTCCGACTGGGCAAACTTGAAGGTAAACCCAATGCTTTCACTAGCAGTCCATTAAGTTACAGTTTCACAAAAGGTTCTGGGTGTACCCAGACGGCCTTCCGCGAAATCCTACAGGTCTACCCATGGGCTATGCGGGCCATTAGACAGCCATTCTGGCAGCACTTTGGTATGGCCAGCCAAGGATCAAAATGAATATTTATATTTAAAAATGCATTATTTCGGCTGTTCCCAGGAAATTGACACTCCGAGTTGCCTTACATTTGATGGCTCCCCGGATTTGGTCCAAATTGATTGCCTATAGCAATTCCCATTTGTTTGATGGCTGGAATACCTTCCAATGCCCTGCATTCAATTGTTTTATGGATTTTACCACAAAAAGCACCGGCTCTGAAAACATATTTTGCATTTTGTGGAATGACCAGTAGGTATTTTCATGAATGGGTTGAACATCCAGATAGCACTCAACGGGGCTTACAACTTTGGTTTCTTGCTGTGCTCAATTTTTTGGGAGGCTTTCCTTTTTGGGCCAGTACACTTTGCATCCCAAAAAGGAAATTCCTTTCTTTGAAGTTCCCTGGGGGTTCACCCAGCTGTTTAGCCTCATCCAGGCTGCCATATAGATTGTTTCAGGTTCTAAGAAGATAATCTCAGCATCCTACAAGGACTCTTGGTGGTTCTGTTGGGCATGAAAGTTGAAACACAGAAATATCTTTTTGCACATAATTATGTTTACCCCTGATCCCCTGGGACATAACAATGCCCCAAAACAGTTCCCCCCCACATGGACAACAGGTATAACCTCCTCAGATGATTGGTATACTCACCATAACCCTCAGAATGTCAAATACCATGTTTTTGTTTTCGGTGATCTCTGAATCAGGCTCCTATCCCACCAAACAATGAGGCCAAAATATAGTAGAATCAAAGTGAATGGGTAGAGGAGTCCAGCTGTGCAATCTGGAAACAAAAGGGTAACATTGAAAGAGTGCTTGATTGACTTCGATACAGGATCGCATACTCACCGCTGCCTGAATCACATATTCACCGCCCTCTGAATATTTTCTAGCACCTTTCCAGATATCTTGTGATAATTCTGAACTCTAGGATTGAATTAAGTATTTGAATATACACTCATATGATTTGTTCTATGCTTTTTCACTGTCAGAAAGGGACCATGTTCAAAAGTGCATCAAATTGCAAGTGCATTGCCCATATATATAGCCCACGCCTGTACTCAAGCACCACATGCTCAAAGACACAACTTGCCCAAATAAGCCATAATATGAATGTTGGACATTGTTTCTTGCTGTTCTGACACTTTGTTTTGCATTCTCTGGCCTCTATGGTACCCATTTATGCAATTCTCCAAAATATGATGTTTCACACTCTGAAAGGATATGAGCAGATATTACAGCCATTGGCAGTACCAAAGGCGTGAATCCAAAAATTGCCGTTTCAGGCATTTTTGGATCCCCACGACCAATTTGCTCATATCTCCATGAATACTACACGGATTGAGCTGAAATGTAGCTAGATAATTCGAGCTAATTCAGCCGCAATTAGTGATAGAGCCAGATTGAAAAAAATATGTTATAGTGCACTGTATGTCACATCAACTGTCTTGGGCAGTGGATCTTGACCACCAAGCTCAAATCCAGTCTAAATGACCTGATTCCTTTGTGTGATAGAAAGGGAAACATGAATTTATTTTTCCCTGCTCTTGCTGCCTCTTCACAGCATTTGTTAGGTGACCAGCAAAGAATTGGGTCTAGCTACACCAGTTGTGGGTCAACTAGAGTGGAGAAACAGTGAGGGTGATCTTTCCGCACTCCTCTATCCTATGCAGCCAAAATATGTGACAGGCACAGGTTTTACGCGCTAATTGGAATGTGCATCTATTCTTGGCCACCATCAAGTGGCTGAGAACTCATCAGTCATAGCTTGTCACTAATGCACGTCTGCTCACTTATTTGCTGGTGGATGGCCAACAGGATGTTGTTATATCCGTGCCCGGAAAGAAAAGGAAACGGCCGGAAGGACGGACGGCCGGAAAGCCGGAGAGCTGGAAGGGCCGGAAGGACGGATGGCCGGACAAAGTGTCAGGGGGCCGGACAAAGGTCCGGATGTAAAGCGATACCACAAGAGTATAAGGGTACACCAATTAACTTGGCTCCGAAGGTTGGATAGAGAATAGGACAGAGGTCGGACGACGGAGCAATGCGGAGGCAAAGCACATTAATTATCAACTGAGGTTACATCCGAAGTAAGTATGTATTTATACTAAGTATGGAGATAGACCGGATGCATTCGGAGAAGAAGTAAAGACAATAGGAATAAGCGAAGACAATAAAGACAATAGAGAGCTTGCGGCAGCCACCAGGAGCCACCTGGTGGCTGATTTGGCATGCGGTAGCCGGTGGCTGTGGCTCCTCCAGTGGCTGAATCTCGCACATTGTGGGATGGCACCCAAGTCTATTTATGGTCCTTTACCACTATATTTGACACCAATTTGTATTATGCCTGCATGAAGAAGGCAGCACAGCTAAGCTTTCTTTCCATTCATAAAAAAACAGCTTGTTTTTGGCAGTAAAGCGCAGTCTGGACACCAGGATGACTTTACCTGCTATAAACAGGAACCAGAGAGCGGGGGGCTTTTCTAACATCACACATGAAATCAATGTGCCAGCCACCAGCCAGCCACAGCCACCGGCTACCACATGCCTGATCAGCCACCGGGTGGCTCCTGGTGGCTGCCGCAAGCTCTCTAATAAGGAATACATGTGGGGCATAAGTCATATGGTCAAAGAAGGGGAAACACTCAGTAAATCTTCATTGCGTAAAACCCCGAGGGCGTGTGTCAATGACCGAGGCCGGACGCAACAGCAAGTGAGACGGACGCGAGCCGGAGTTCGGATGACGTGTCTGGAAGGAAGGGAAATCGGATCCGAGGATCCGGACGGAGGACGGAGCTGGAGAGGGTCGGAGATGCACGGGCATAACAGACGTCAATTGCAGCCTCTCGCAGCCACTTGAGAGTGCAAAAGGTAATGTGATTCAAACCAAGCTCAGCCTGAACCTCTCTCCAAATCGAGCTTATTATCTTTTATTTACTCTAAGGCAGAGGCACAACCTCTGGAATTTCCTTCCTCCCCAACTCCAATGGCTGCCCTTTTGAACGACAACAAATTACTTGTATCTATCTCCATTCCTGCATGTAAGACTCCATCCACAAAGCACAAATCTGATGTTACATCAGGCAGCTCCAATGCTGATATTGCTCCACCCAAAAAGAAGCCAGGTGCAGGGATGGAAAGCCAGCTGGGACGTAGAATCTGGCAATGCAGTGACTCCCCAAAGCCTTCAAAGAAGAAGCTGGGCCCTAAACCAAAGCTCAAGGTTGCAACAAGGTGAAAGACAGTGCTGAAATGTGGTAAAGCACGAAGTGCATGACAGGATGTGTCTGAGTTGGCATTGGAAAGATACTGACATGTCTGTGAGTTGGAGGAAAACATTTGCTACTGTGGAATCTAAATGTACAGCATTGCCAGAAAAAAGAGGTATCTATTGACTAAGAAAGTGCGCCCAACATGCATTATATAGCTTCGAAATTGGTATGTGGTTTCACAGGTGTATTCTTCGGGCTTGGAGTCGTTGGAGGTGCGACCAGACACCTCAGGATCGTCCACTGGGTCTTTGGTAGCAGCGAGTAAGGAAAAACCTGAACAACTAAGTCAGATGATATTTGTAGAAACACAGTTGACTTGAATGCAAATACCGGTTACCCATGGAAAGCAAACGGGGAGAGCCCTTGATTTTCGCCTATTCTGGTGACTCACAAGACCTCCTTTGAGTGATATCTATCCAGACATGGCCACACTCATCGACATTGTTATCCGTCATAACCTGCCACAATGATCCAAAGGTTAGCTACAGAGGAGAGCCACAGGTAATGATGTCTAGTACTCGAGTTTGCTCTGAGGTCACTGGAGGCATGTCCATTGGCTTCAGGATGGTAGTAGTGGATGAGATCATAGCCACTTGATGGTGACCAAGAATCGATGTGATGTGACCTAATTAGTGCGCTTACAACATGTGCTTGTCACATGTCTGGCTATGTAGGAGGATAGCGGAGTGTTGGAAAATCACCCTCGCTGTTTCCTCACTCTAATTGACCCAAAACTAGTGTAATTAGACTCAATTCCTTTTTTGTCACCTCAAA